AGGCTAATAATAGTATGTTATGCATCGATAGCAGCAACAGCTTTTCCAGGTTCTGCAGTCATCTGAACAAAATTATAGACATTCAGCACATTCCATTTAAAAAAAAAAAACAAAGAAAAGAATAATATCCAGACAACAGCAAAGTTCTGTTGCTGTGGTACCTGGCACCATTTTTTCTATTAGCCTCTTAATCATCATCTGGAAAGAGAACATTCTAGAGTAATATCATTAAATGTAGCTCTGATAAAGCACTGTCCCTACTATGTATCATAAAGCAGGTACTAGATATTTTACATTCATAGAGGCATGATATAGTATCGTCTTACATCAATAATACTAGATTCAGTTTGGTTTGAAATTTACTTTGTCTGCAAATAAGACCGCTACTCCTGTTTTTTGGGGGGCTCCTGTCACATGGAGAATTGTTTTCTATCTTTTCACTTTCAGTCTATGGGCTTCTTTTTGCACTAGGTGTGTTTCTTGTATACAACATATTGTTGGATTTTGCTTCTTATTCCATTTTACCAGTCTATTTCTCTTCATTGGTGAGTTGAGGCTATTGACATTGCTGTTATAACTGATATGTACTGACTTATTATTGACATGTTATTGGCCTTTTGTTGACTCTTTTTACTTTTTCACCTTCTCCTTTTAATTTCTTGCCTTGCCTATTTGATTTGCTCTTTTGGGCCTCATGGTGTTGCTGCCTTCATTGTCTTTTTCTAGGATCTTGTTCAGAATTCCTTGTAGGGCTGGTTTGGTATTCATGTAGTTTCTCAGGTGTTCTTTGTCATGGAAGTGTCTTATTTCCCCATCCATTTTGAAAGAGAGTTTTGCTGGATACATCAGTCTAGGTTGGAGGTTGTTGTCTTTTAGTACTTGAAATATCTCATTCCAGGCTCTCCTTGCCCCAAGGGTTTTTGTTGAAAAGTCTGCTGTGATTCTGATGGGCTTTTCTTTGCATGTGATTTGTTTCTTTTCTCTTACTGCTTGTAGTATTTTGTTCTTCTGTTGGGTTTCTGGGATCTTCATTATTATATGTCTAGGTGTAGATTTTTTTTTTATTGTAGCTAGTTGGGGTCCTATATGCCTCAGTCATCTGAATGTCAAATTCTTCCCCTCTGTTTGGGAAGTTTTCTGTCATTAATTCTGCGAACAGCTTTTTAAAGTTATTTGTATTTTCTCCTGCTACTTCATGTATTCCTATCAGTCTTATGTTATTCTTCTTTCCATCAGCTAGGAGTTGTTGAATCGATTTCTCATGACCCCTTACTGTTTTTAAGAGACCTCTTTTTTCATGGTCACTGACTGCAATCTTATCTTCTATATCTGAGAGCCTATCTTCGCATTCTTTTATTCTGTTGCGTACACTTTCAATAGAGTGTTTAATCTCCTGGATATCTGTTTGAATCTGTTTTATGGATTCCATTTCTTTCCTATGTTGGGCGTTTATTTTTTCCATTTCTTTCTTATGCTGGGCCTTCATGGCTTCTATCGTGGTCCTGAGCTCATCTATTTTTTTGTCAGTTTCTGCTCTAGAATCTCGAATCACAACTTCCATTTTGCTCACTATCTCTATGGTTATCTGGGAAATTATTTCTGTTTTGAATTTTTCTAGAGCCTGATTGATCTGTTTTGTTACTTCCTGTGCTTAGAGTTCAGGGTGGCCACCCTTGTTTAGAGCCACCCCTAAAGGTATCTATAATGCAGCCACATTTATATTCAAGGTATGTACCCAGATACCTTGTTGACACTTCTGGAAACCAAGCTTGGACTTTTCCCTTCTCCTTCAGCTTGCTTTATAGGACTTGTTCTCACACAGTCATAGATTTGACCTAATGGAATAGTACCTCTGCAACTGTGATAGGTGCCCAAGGGGTTCATCCTATCTGTCTCTGCATTTTCTTGTGCCCTCTGGGCTTGGTTGTTTTATTTTGAATGTAATACTTCAAATTTTTAATAAACAGTTCCTGGGTCCATCTGTCTTTATGACTTACTATGTCTGACAAATCCCCTAACAGGCATTTCTGGATCCATGGTCAAGTGTTCTGTCTCTCAGGACCCAGACTCAAAGGTATGGAATTCTCTTGTTCTGATTTCACAGCCTTTCTGAAAAATAATCTATACTCTGCTTTTCCCACTGGAGGTTGTTATAAGTTCCATGATGAATAGATTCAAATGAAAAGCAAATTCTTGTGGCTTTTCTTTAAACTCAGTTATGAATAGAAATGGAGAATAATTTGAATGATAGACACATACTATTTTGAAACCCCTGACTAACCTACAAGGTACCACAAGCCTTCATGCAAATAAGTTGTTGGAAAAAGCATGATCTACCAGTCCTCCAAATACTCTTGAATCTGGAACACTGCTTGAACTTCAGGTAGATCTTGCTCCTAGACAATACAACAAGCTCTGACAAGAGTTGTTCCCAAATGTTATCGGACCACAGGGATAAAATGAGGTATATTAGCTCAAAACTCAAAATCATAAGGGCTTGAGTTTTTACCAGTTTGAGTTTGAACCTCAGTAGCTCATAAAAAAACAGCCTGTAATTACTTCTGGGAGTCTCCACATGGGATGCTTCCCAAGACTAGGTAGCCACATTTCTCAATTCCAGAGGGCAGGACTGACATTGAATTTTGAATAAATGTCACTCCCATAGTACAACTGAGTCACACTGAATAAAATGTGGATGGTGCCCCTGGAATGGCATAACATTGGTTCTATACCTCACAGGTGTCCATAAACCAGTTCTCACTTGGGATCCATCATGTTTTTTCTCTTCTACTTCAGTTGGGCCTGGCCATTGTCCAATACTTTTGACACTGCTTAAAGGAGGATCACTGAGGCCAATGCTGAAGGCATGCCTCATGGGCTACCCACTATTCACACCAAAGGTGAAGCCCCCAGATAGTCTCAGAGCCACTGTTTGCACATGTGTGGACATGGAAAGAAAGGCCTGTTCTCCACATCCATGACATTCTGCTGCCCAGGTTCTAACGCCTACACCTCACAAAATATCTCACCAAAAAGTGTCCTGTCAGCATCTCTTTTCATTCACTCTTCACCTCCTGCCAGTATCTCTCAACATTGTCCTTCCACCAACCAGAGAGTATTACTCAGAAACAAAATAAGCAATTGTTTTGGTATACTGTTGCTGGGCATGATGGCACACATCTGTGATCTTAGCACTCGGGAGGCTGAGGCAGGTGGACTGCCATGAGTTCAAGGCCAGCCTAGGCTACACAGTGAGTTCAAGGCCAGGCTGAACTGCATAGTGAGACTTTGAAAAACCAAAACCAAAACAAACAAAAGGACAGAGAAACATATCTAAATTAGAACACTGAGGCTCTGCAGTTATTTTATGGTGACTTTATTTTTTGGAGGACAAAGGAGCTAAGTATCTGTTTATATCTAGACCCATTCTAGAAACAAAAGTGTGTGTTGAATTTAGAAAATCTTTAGTTTACCAAGCATACAGCATAGTTCCAAAACAATTTTCCTAGGACTAAGTCTCCCATGGAGAGTAATTAAATAAATCACATCTGAAGGTGTGTAGTTACCTGGATGCTGAAAACGTGACAATGAAGTAAAGTCCTAAGGGATAAAGAAAGGAAAATTGGTTTTATATATCCTATAAGTTTCCAACATAAGCAAGGTCAAATTACAAGGACAAGTGTCTTCAGGAAAATTTTAACGGTCTTGAAGTAATTGTCCCAGTTCCATGTTATCATAAAAACTTTACCTTTTATAACAGACATATCAATTCAATGAAAGGAATACACAGATAACTTCAGACTTCGTAAAAATAAGCAAGTAAGGAAAATAGATGATATTCACTTTGGACATTTTAAATACTTAGCAATGCCCATTCTTGAAGCAAAAGGCTCTTACATGAATTTTTCTTATGTGCATTTTGTCTTTAACTTACTTTTCACTAGAAATACCTCTAAGAACTCTTTGGGATAGGGTTGAGTGTTTCAACCTTGATCTATATATTCAAAAACTTCTAAGAGTAGAATAATATATGAAGCTGATGACTGTATTTGCCAATACCCTATAACTTAGTAACAGTAAAATTCATCTTCTACTTGGGTTCTGCCTGGGTGTCTGCCACCACCCCAGCCCTGCTCCTGCCAACAATTTCCTGCCCATAAATTTTAAATGGTAATTTTAGCCATACTTTTCTTCAACACTTCAAAAATCATTGTGTCTAGTCTCACCTGGACAAATCTACTGCACTTACATTTTTGAGATGTATTAAATATCATGAAATGCACAACAATAGAGTACTCAGTCTTCTGATTAAAATAACATTGTTTCTGGCTCCTGAATTTCCTAACCTCTAACTTCTTGTACTGTTTTAGCAACTAATAACCTTCCCTAAAGAGTGAATGAATCAGGAAGGGTATATTTACTTTCCTAAGTTATGTTCTCATATGAAAAGTGCCATCTATACAACCATTTCTAATTCTGAGAATGTTAGGGAGATACTTGAACACTATAAATAAAGGATCTGACTGAATAGGATACTGGCTTCTCAAGGTCATTATGTTACTTTAATATGTAAAATATATAAACTGGTTGCATACATTAGCAATCTAAATCAAGTATACTTATAAAAATGCTATATTAACATTTAGCTTAAATAACCAAATACTAAGTTATCAAAATAAAAGTGAAGGGAAATGACCATAGCAGATGCTGAAACCAGAATTTCAGATTCAGGAGCGAAATAGCTAAACAATTAACAAAGTTATGAGCTGGGGATGTAGTTCAGTGGTGCTGTGCCTGCCTGGCAACTGCAAGGTCCTGAGTTTGATTCCCAATACCAAAAAACA